TGGACAGTGCGCTTAGCTACACCTAGCAAGTTCTTAGGCATGCCACTTAAACTGAAATAAAGAAATATTTCAAATAAACAGAAAGCTTGACTTGTTTGTCGATTTACAGTGTAGTGGCTAAAAACAGCAACCTAAAATAAAACCTAAAAACGCTTGTCATTTTATCTAATTAATTGGCAAATGAGGTGTAATTACAGCAGTTTTCAATTGAGTGTCATAAAACCAAACCCAAAGTAATCACTCTGGCCAATCACAAAGGACACAGGCAATCCAGTGAACCAATTAAAACTCGCAACAAATACATTTAGCCGACGCTGAGCGCGGGAAAACGTGTGCGAACGAGCCACGTGGTTTTGGTTTTATTTCTGATGGGATGAAAAAGTGGCGCGAGTTTTTTAAGCCTGAAAGTGGTCATGCAAAACCAAGGCAAATCAGTGCGAATTACTTTCGACGCTCAAGTAGAAGCTGCTATAACCTCAGATTACTAAATGAAGCTGTATTTCTATGCAGGTGAATTTGGCGGTGGATGCCATTTCCGAGTGCTGCAAAACAGGCCAAGGGAATCTTCTAGACCTTGCTGTTAAGGTACAGCGTGAGGTTACTTTTGTCAGGGTGATTAATCGGTCAACTTCTCCCAGCAAGTAATTTCCTTCTCTTTTCCTTGTTGTTTTTCAGGCTTCCAGGGTCCGTTGTACCGTTGGTGAGATAACCGAAGCAATGGAAAGGGTGGGTGACGACCGTGAAACAATTTATTTGTTGTTAACAACAACAATAATCTTTATTTTCGTTCATTGTAAAATTACATGTTATTTGGCCCGCGGATAGCAAGTGCTCATCTAGGCGGGCCATTTATCGCTTATGCATGTGACTAGATTAATTAAATACCAGTGATAACAATTGGCAAGATGATACCTTTCTTTTTCATATGGCTAAAACGTTGTAGGCTATTTGACACTCTAGAGTCGTAATCCTTGTGTTTCGCCAATGTTCTCGCCGCTAACACGAAATAAGCTGATTTATTTATTTATTTTATTTTATTTATTTTTTTTTTTTGCAAAGGTGGTTGGAAGACATGTCGCCAGTGATCGCATGGTCAGCGGTGCCTATAAAACAGAGTTTGGCGATTCGGACGAGATAAGCCAGTGCATGAAGAAAGTGAATGTGAGTCACTTT